AACTTTAAAGCTCTCATCTGGGCAGGTGAACAGTTACAGCAACTCAAAAACAGAGATTTTACCTTTACCCTTCCACGTCCACCACCGAATTCCAGCCAGCATCACTTCGCGACGCTATAAATGCCAACCCGTTCTTAACATAATCTTGAAATCGCACCGGTGAAATATACGCCCGGGCTACCTTCTGAATGTAGGATTTGACGTCATTAAGCATTCAAAGGTGCATAATATACGCCTTTCAGGTGCATCACCATATTCACATCCGTTGGCCACAGATTGTCAGGCGCGGGGCCGACGCTGCGCGGCCTACAGAGACTGCAACGCTCGGCGTCGAGGTTTTCGTCACTAAGAGTTGCGAACGCATATGTGTAAAACCACGTACATTATTTGAATCACTAATCAATTCTGGTTAAATGTTGAATATTTCTAGACAATCACGGCATGACCGAGTTAAGACAAATTGCTGACCTTATTTTGATTCACAAACTTTATACGCGGAGTTCTTAATATCTCTGTAGAACCCAGACGAAAATTATGACAAAGCTTCTGAGTTCTGTCGGTTTAGACAGAAGCCACCGGACCATTGCAAAACGGAAGGGCGTCAGTGGTTTATTTCATATAACCGTTAACACGTGAGTTCTTCAGTGTTTTGACTATGAAAATTGATATCACGATAGCTTCTGGCTTCTGTTCCAGCTAAAGAAGGAAAAATAACAGATATTAATTAAAAGTGTGCCCTCATTAACGAACGCACCGTATATGGCGATGGCGATTTTTGGGGGGGACCCTTTCACTCTCAGGGGGCCTTTTGTCAACCCTGCGCCCCAGCCCCCCTGTCAAGGCCATGGCCGCGCGAATGCTTTTATCGCAGATATAAAGGACATATATCGCCTCATTCGAGTCCAGTGAGCTGAGGTTGAGTGGATTAAATCCACGCGCCTACAACACGCTGAAGTGGGTTTACAGTGATGGTTTTTAGTTTTACTTCGTCACTCTATTACAAAATCTTCCACATGTGCATTGTTCCAAGATGGACTTAGTTTCTTAAAAGTTGCCTGAGCTCTCTCAGAGGTCCTGAAACGTGTCATTTTTTTACAGACTTCGGCCATCTTGGGTAGACGAAGAGCAGCCATGGCCGATTACACCCCTGATATGTCACCGAGTGTTGCGCTAACATGATGCCCAGCACGACCCAGACGACCATTTCAACATTTTCTTTTCGGCTGGACCGCGGCCTACCCACAGCTTGAGCGTCTGTCCGCGGCCTGGCTGGGCACCAACTGGGCACATATCGGGCAAATCTCAGGAAATTCATGACCAGGGCGGACACTGGGGTCCGGCTGGGACTCTGGGATATCAGCGTGGCCTGGGCGGGCGTTAGGGTCCGGCTGGGATATCAGCAGTGGTCTGGGTGGGCGCTGAGGTCCAGCTGGGACTCTGTCTGATATATCAGCGTGGCCTGGGCGGGTGCTGAGGTCCGGCTGGGACTCTGCCTGGGATATCAGCGTGGCCTGGGCGGGCGCTGGGGTCCGGCTGGGATATCAGCGTGGCCAGGGCGAGCACTGGGGTCCGGCTGGGACTCTGCCTGGGATATCAGCGTGGCCTGGGCGGTCGCTGGGGTCCAGCTGGGACTCTGTCTGAGATATCAGCGTTGCCTGGGCAGGCGCTGGGGTCCGGCTGTGACTCTGCCTGGGATATCAGCGTGGCCAGGGCGGGCACTGGGGTCCGGCTGGGACTCTGCCTGGGAAATCAGCGTGGCCTGGGCGGGCGCTGGTATCCGGTTGGGACTCTGCCTGGGATATCAGTGTGGCCTGGGCGGGCGCGCTGGGGTCCGGCTGAGACCCCGCCTGGCCCCACCTGGTAGACGCTTTGTATACCAGCTGGGCATGAGCCCGTGCCAGGGATAGGGGCCTGGTAAAAATAAAAGAAAACATGCTGAGCCCGACAAGGGCGCAAGCTGGGCTCTGACAGGATGCCAGCAGGGCTCTGACAGGGCGTCAGCTGGGCTCTAGCAGGGCGCCAGCTGAGCCCTGACAGGGCGCCAGCTGGGCTCTGACAGGATGCCAGCAGGGCTATGGCTGCGCAAAGCTGGACTGCCAAGATGGGAGCTCAGGTCGGCTTCGGCCGTTTTTGTCCATACCACCTGGAGTGCGCAGTGCATCCCAAGTAGAACCATGCTTGAAATAACATTTTTAGCATTGAGTGCAGCCACAATTGTCATATGGTTCAATATTTGGGTCCTAACCTCAAATGGCATGAAGTACGGTAGCCATATTATAATAAAGGACGCCACTGAAGCCCTGTTTTCGTCAATTAATCGAAGTCACCGAATGATGTAATATGTCGGCCCAAAAAATACGGTACGAAAAAGCGCTTCACGAAAAAGCAGACGAGTCCATTTGGGCATCATTAATCTCTATGGGAAACAATTTGTGGCTAATGCCATAGTTGTGAGGAGACGACAGCCTATACGTCAAGTAAAAGCGCCCCCGTCCCCTTTTCGACTACAGCTTGAAACTCGTGCATTTGAAATGATATTTTCTCCAGTTGAGTGATGAAATAGGGGCATGAAAAAATGGAAGAACTGATAAATAAAGCCATGGATGCTCTGATATTCTCCAAACCATGGTTTATTGATCAGTAGCGAAGCAGAGGGACACAGGGAGCACGTGCCCCCCCCCCCCCCCCCGCCTTCCTTAGGTTCCGCGGGGCCAAATGCCAGCCAGAGGACCATGCGCGCCGTTCGGGGTCACCTGCGCACGGGATCGTGCCCGTGATGAGTGTTCTGATGTTTGTTAGTTAAAAATCGGCCGGTAATTTTTGGGTGATATGGAGTTCCTCATCCTTTGAGCCCTCGTTTGACTCTTTCTGTCGTGAATGGTTGGATCTTTGTAAGTTGAAAATGGGCCGGTAATTTTTGGTTGATATGGAGTTCCCCGCTTTCGAACCCGCGTTTGACCTTGAAGGGTGACCTTGAAGGGGTCAGGACTTTTTGAAGGACGCTAGTTTTTCTGTGGTGAATATTTTGACATTGGTGAGTTGAAGATCGGCCGGTATTTTTTGGGTGATATCGGGTTATCCGCCCTTTTATCCAGCTTTTGACCTTGAAGGTCACATTATATTGCAGAGTAAAGGTCATTTTTGGTGCTCTCATGCCACAATTGACCTTGCAACAATTTTTCAGGGAAATCGGAACACGTCGCTGAAAAAAATCGCTGAATAAATCGCTAACTTCATGAACATCTAATGAGCCAACCTGAAAGTTATGGGGGCCACGGCTGGGTATACATTTGTAGCAGCACAGCGCGGCTGGGTCCCTGTCAGCAGCGATAGGTGTAGGAACAGGGGGAGGCCAGGGGTGTGCCCCCCACCTTTCAAGGGGGGCAGCACTGTTAAGTATCCCCTCCACACTTTTCAGATTACGCATACATGCCGGCTTACATATTTCGCCAGCCATCTTCCTCAAGATGCGCCATCTTTTTTGTCTGCTTGTTGGCCATCGCTTAAAGTCACAGCCACAAGGTAGACGCCAGACGACGTCTGACGTCAGGATTTTTTACCTGGGTTGTACAGAAATGGCAGGGATTCCGCAGACGCAGATTGAAGAGCAAAATGAGTCAACAATTTGTATACAAATGGCCAGGCCATGTTTGTCTGGATATCCTCAACATCCAGGCAGAATTGATCAGTGGTACAAATCATGTAACGTAGGTTTGAGCACAAGCGCTCGTATATATTGGAAACAAAAACTCGACGCCAGGCGTTGCAGTCTCCCTAGGCCGTGCAGCGTCGGGTTCCCAGTATAACGCAGGTGAGTTAAACACTAGACTATCGGCACCCGGCGCGCAGGCTAAGGCGTTTTGATGGCAGTCGTTTCATTAGCCGATTCTGAAAAATACTGAACGTTCTCAAGGAAACATAGAATGACCTGTGCGTTTTCGACCCATTTCGACCGACTCCATTCAGCACTAATGAAACCCCTTATTTCCAGTAAAGCGCCCCCCTTGAGCACCACACTACGGGGCACATTGTTGTTCCCTGTCGACAGCTGAAGAGCCATCTTGTTCCACCCTGGTGTGTTTTCCGGCCGTCGTTCTGGCGACGCGGGGCGGCAATCCCTGGTTGATCCGGAGGCCCTTAGATGGATACACCATATCACATTGGTCCGTTCCTTGACACGGAAGGCCTTTTGATCCGCACAGTCGAACCCGGATCGGCGGATGCTCTGCTACCTACAGGAAGAGTGGAAGGTGGGGGGAGGGTATGGGCCAAAAGAGCCCCCTCGGTTACCCCACTGGCAGACATCAGTGAGCAGTTGCACTGCTTTGCTTTTTTGCGGGGAGGGGGCCGAGATCTCAGTCATTTGAGACTTAAACATAACGAATTTTGGCGATGCCTAAGCAATGGTCAAAAGCTCACAGTACTGCTGAAAACCACAGGTTCGTGATCTAGTGGGCTTTACGTTAACTAATACTAATACTGCTTAATGGTTAAATAATGCTGCGCCTATAATTACTGGGCTAAAGGCGCAACGGAGTACCCCTCGACTACTCTTCGCGGCTACTTAACTGCATCGCGTTCTCTATTATCCTGTTAAATGCTGCGTCCATAGAGCTTTTTCTTTAACCAGATTCAATTTTCAGCCCACGCTGCAATCCTCCTATCTCACTTCAAATCTCATTGTAAAGGTGAACATCTCCCTTTAATCGGTTCGGACTCCCAGAATTCCGTCGCGCATTGTGCCTGGCTTACAGCAGTGCGTAAAACCAAAACATAAAACCAAGCCATCACTAATGGATAAGCTCCTTTGCTCCTGCTGAGTGCTCGTAATGGGAAATACGTCATTGATTGCGAATGCATGTGGCCAGAAGTCTTAAATCAGGGCAGCTGTTTCTTTTGTGGCAGAACCTTGATGCAGAAAACTGCGCGATTGCGACATTTCCTGCCGAAAGCGGATGTAAAGGTTGGAGCCGTGGAACGGTATGTGTCACCGTGGTAGAAATCAGGGCTGTCAGGGTGGGAGGGGCATGACTTTGGGATTGGGTCGGGTATTTTTGGTAACGGCGTCTGTGTACGGGACGCTCGCGCTCAAGACAATTTGACAGGTAGGTGTTTGGAGGAGTAACGGCCTGCATAATGCAGATCAATGCTCTTCGCGGCGCTCGTGCTTTGATTGGGTTGTACCGGGCTCCTGGACGATACTGAACTGATATGTGACTGTTCTGAGCGAGTGAGTAATAAGAGGTGGCAACTGATAAGTGACAATTCTGCCTGCCTGGCATTCATCCAATTTTGGTATATAACATTAAGCTTGAGTTACAATGACAAATTGCATAGTCCGTTTTGCATTATGTTATCAAAGTCCAGATTGAGAAAGATATTTTACTTCACTGTTGATTACACCCAAGAAAAGAAGGAAAGTAAATCAAGCTGGTAAATGGACATTTGGTGGAGTGAATGGCACTTCTGATGTACACCAGATCATGGAAAATTTGTGCAGATTGATAAGCTGTGCGTGTCAACCCATTTGTCCCCATGCACAAATTGGCTCTGCACTAGGGGGTAAGACACACAACAAGATTGAGAGTGGGTAAGTGGAGAAAAAGGAATGGTCATTCTAATCTGAAAATTTAAGAATTAATCATTCTTTTGTATGCAGGGAATGGGGCAAATCTATTTTTATCATTTCTGTAGAGCATATCTGTAGAGCACAGAGCACAGAGTATGTGGCTTCACCAGTTTTGACCAGTACTGAATCAGCAATTGTGCAGAATGCTGTATGGCATGCTTGATCTTAGTTGTGTGCAACATGTGCACAGATATTGTGGGATCAGGAGTGAAACCTTCATTGAATATTTAACATTTTGTGGAAAATGCCAGTTACACACCTAACATTATGCTATTCCTGTCTGCAAGTCTGCCAGAACAATCATGATGGCAGTGAACTAAAAAATGTTTAAGTTAAAAGACCAAGAAATCATTGGCAGAAAATATAGCATCTCAGGTGTGACAGATGTCATGGCTTCTTTCATTTGGGTTCTTATAATTTTGAGATTTTAATGTTATACCATACAGATTTCAGGAAATGTGCCATGCCAGCCTTCTCAGCATTGTTCACATATATCAGCTATTATGAATGATGTTAATTCATAGTTATATTATTACACAGTGCACCTTATTACATTACTTTTTTTGCTGTGGGTGTATACAATATACATTATTGTAATGGTGCATGATTGTGAGTTGTGATAATTAACATCTTGACAGATGTATCTGATATTTGCACCATGATGCATAACACATGAATAAACAGGACGGACATCACGTTCTAGGCACTGCACTGTGCTTCTTGACTGGCTGTGGGAAATTTTGCCATTCCATTCTTTTCATCATTTATTGTTTGGTTGAACAATATTTCATCATTTTGTTTATTGAATTATGTCTCACTTTCATAATGTATATACATGCTCCATATGGGTAGCTCTTTTGCCCAGGATATAAAGGGCTTGTGCCTTACTGATACATGATATTAAGTACAGATTCCTGGCCTCTCACTTAAGATGCATTATATAGTGTCCTGCTTGGGGGAACAAATTACACCACACACAGGCTAAATTTTCAGAAGCCTTCCAATGCATCTCAGAAGTTATCCACCCAGCAACGTCTACTGGCCCGTGTTGCCAAGAAGTGGTGTCTCAACCGGGGGCCGCTCTACATGCTCTGCGGCCGGTGCATCCGGCCCTCCTCCATCGGCCATCCTTACGCTGCTTGGGCTGGGCCCTGCGTGCCGGGTCGCCGCGCGGTCAACATTGATTCGGCCGCGCTGCGCCGCGCCGCGGCCGCTAATGGGATCGCATCGTCGGTCGTGTCGCCGGCCGGCGGCCCGTTAAACAAACGTCCGTGATGTGCGGCCCGTCCGCCGGGGCCGGTAATCGGCCGAAATGGTGAGGGCGCGGCCGCCGCCCGCGCCTGTTTAATCAGGGTCGAGTGACACGGCCGGGCCGGTCGGCGGGACGTCGCTGGGGACCGGCAGGCCTCTCACCGGGCCGGCGGCGATCACGACACCGCCGCAGGGCGGACCCACCCCTGACCCAGTGGGCCGATGCTGTACCTCTGGGCGGACCCACTCCGCTGACCAAGTGGGCCGATACTGTGCCTCTAGGCGGACCAACCCCTGACCCAGCGGGCCGATACTGTGCCTCTGGGCGGACCCGCCCCGGACCCAGCGGACCGATACTGTACCTCTGGGCGGACCCACTCCGCTGACCAAGTGGGCCGATACTGTACCTCTAGGAGGACCAACCCCTGATCCAGCGGGGCGATACTGTGCCTCTGGGCGGACCCACCCCGGACCCAGCGGACCGATACTGTACCGCTGGGCGGACCCACTCCGCTGCCCCAGCGGACCGATACTGTACCGCTGGGCGGACCCACTCCGCTGACCCGCTGAGCCGGTTCCGTGCCAGCTGGCCGGGCCGCCGTACCGCCGCCGCCGCGCTGCCCCGGTCCGTTAAGCTCCCACCGCCCGCCTGCAGTCACGCTGCGTCGCCGTGTATGACTCAGACCCGAAGCTGCGAGACGAGGCGCGGCTCTGGCCGACCGGGCCTGCCGCCGCGCTGGCTGTTTTTGCGTGCCTGGGCCCGGACCGGCCAGTGTCGCCCTCATGCACCATTGCTCAGTTGGATGGGGTGGGTACAGCAGCCCAGCCCGTGCGACGGGCTCAGCAGCCAGGGCCCGGCTGAAGGGCCTCACCACGGCCGCGCAGCCAGGGCAATTCAGCGGCGCGATTCATCACGGCCCATTGTCACAGCTTGGCTGAGCCCTGCAAAATGGGAGGATAAGCGTCCAGACGGTCATGCAAGTGACGACAAAAATAAGTGTCAGGACGCGTCGCTCGGCACTGTGGGCCGGGTCGTGACTTAATGTGTCTTAAAGCGTTTTCCTCCAATTGGCTGGAAAATATAGCAGGGTGCCGCGGTGCGGTAGCCAGACTTGAACTACAGGGTTGCATTATAATATTCATGCTTGTAATAGAAACACGCCACTCTATTTTCCAAGCGAAGCCTGTTACGTGCTCCCTGATCCCACCACCCAAAGTCAACCGATCCATCACATTCAACAATTTCCCCACGATCTTGTTACGTGACGGGGCTGCGAATATTTGACGTACCTTGCAATGCTCCCGCACGGCCAGACGTATCAGGTTGGCCGGGTGTGGCCAGTTGCCAGCACACCATCCTTCGTCGGTCGGTCAAAACTGCAGCACAGCCGCAGGGTCCAGGCTCAGCACGCCTGACCAGTGAATAATGGACTTTCTTTCAGTTGTCTGGCACAAGGGCGCGCGCCCTCGCCCGCGCGTGATTGTAACCAGCAGCACCGCGTTGCAAAGCCAGCTTGATTCTTTGCCACCACGGCACATGCCTGCATTTCACGCATAATTCTCGCGCTGCATTACTGTTCCTGCTCCATAGTCACTCACCGCCGTCAGTTACTCACTGTACTGCATCACTGATCCCATTCCATAGTCACTCACTGCTGCTCATAGTCGCCGGGCTGCATCACTGTTGATGCTCCCAGATTAGAATCGCATGCACAGCCTAGACACGTTGAGTGTTCCAGAGACCTTTATGCATTCAACAACGTACTGCACATCAGCTTGGTGTTAATTTACTGAATCCGGACCGAGCCCAGCCCGCCACCACTTCCTGATCATGAAGTTTTGGATCTCTGTCCGCTGGCGTCCGCACGAAACAACCCTTTCTTGGATGATGGCTGGTTGGCACCTGTCCCTCGGCTGTGGCCCAGACAGTGGCCGGGGCGTCATATCCACACATATCAAAATCCATGAACATATCCTTATTTGCTTTCTGATCTGCTGTTCCCCGATCTTATCTGAAATGGCATTTCTTCTGCGCCGCTGTAGCCAATGCTTTACAGCGGGAGTGTGCAACACGGCAAGAACAGGGCCTTGAACCAGTCATCGCAATGGAAACAAAACAACAATATCGTCCCGAAACGGCTCCTACGTCCCGGTTTTGACTGTTTGCATTTTACGTAAATTTGATTTAGTTAAATTACTTTTTTCGTTGTTTTACAACACTTCCACTCACCAGCAGATTGCACTGCCCACACCAAACAGCGGATACGCCAGTTTTGTGCGACCCTCAACCAGAAGACTTCCTGCGAGGTGTAAGCTGATTACGCTTGAATGTAAAGAAAATAACTCGCGAAACCGATGCCGGGCGTGATGGCGTGTCAGATGCCAGCTATGTTATTAGTAACCGCCATCATCGGGGTCGATGCGCGGGACAGTTCTGAAGAATATATTATATTGTGAAAAGGTTGTTGCAAAGTCGAATTTGAACATTTAACACTACAAACTGTTAACGATGTCGTTTCACGTTTTCACTGGGTTGCAAAATGCGACTCGTGTGACGCTTTGGCTACACCACTGGGGTGCCATACGAACTTGAATGGTTCTAGGGGGATATTGTCATTGAAAATGACGAGGCCTGATCTGGGATGGTTGCGTGCGCGGTCGATTAGCACACTGACGCATTTGAGCATTGGCTGAAGCGCAGCGTCACATCAGGGGCACCATTGTGGAACGATGATTCGGTCAGTGTTAATTAAAAGCATAGATATGCAAGACTAGATAGGACAGCCGACTGGAGTGATCTGACAGGGTCACTGCAATGCATGGGGCGAGGTCCCTGCGTAAGATCGTGGAGGCAAACATTGAAGAGAGAACTGATTTTGAAGGGTTTTACGAGATACGCCCATATATCAACAATCCTAAAAACATATTTCTTGCGTTTCACTGTCCGATGAGTTGCCCGCAGGGAGAGTTCCCGCCGCCGACGTCCACGACCGCTGCCTGCGCGGACGGTCCGCCGTGCTCTGAGCGATGTTTGGAGCCGCTACACTTTGTCTATCTGACGCTGTAGACTCCGCGGGGATTAGCTGCAGTCGTGTCCGATGTGTGCGGGTGACATCCGTTCGGAGAGCCAGTGGAGCGAGGGTCCACATTTGATCACGGCCGTCGTGGCGCCGCCGCCGGCCCGAATGTCTCCGCCGAGCTCGTGCCAAGCATCGGCGGGTGTGC